CACTGCGAACCACCGGTGGACCCAACCCAGCATGCACCAAGATACAAGGCACTCCATCGGCCGCCGCTGCCCTCCTTGGCACCTCCTGCGCCAGCATGGTAGCTGGCCAAGAACGCCAGTGTCATTGCTTTCTCCGCCACCCATGATCATCATTGGTGGAGGAGATGGTGGCCTTCTGTGGCCAGCAGTTGATCGAAAGGAACCATGGCAATTTCAATGGGGTTAGTCAGCGTGCGCCTTTGACTTTCGTTGCCACCTACTAATGGCTCTCAATGATATCGAGATCCATCTCTGCTGGAATGTGTGCAGGGCAAGAACACTAGGCCGCAATTCGGAAAACATCATGGTGGGTGGCATTGTCCGGATGGGAATCACTAACCCAGCAAAATTCATCCAAGAGCTGCTCCGCCGTTGACACCTCCCAGGCGTGCGCCGAGATACCACACAACTCAACCTCGACGGCGAATGGTAGAGTTGCCTCTGTTGAGTGTAGGAAGCGGGTCCAAAACATGACGTGTAGGTGAAAGGACGAGGCAATGATTGGTCGGCCATCGTTCTAGAACGTCGCCACTGCCTCCTCGCTTGGCAGGGTTAGGAGGAAGCTCGACGGCCCGCAACGACGTAGGGTTAGCAGAGCCTCAATATCTCAAACCACCGAGCGATAACCACCGAGCAATCGTAGCTGCAATGGGGCCTAGACAGATCTTCTTGCTGCTCGGTGACCACAGAAACGACCAAAGTGCAGCCGAGCTCCTCCTCCCTCCGGGCGATGCTCACAGACCGATCGATGACACGTCGCAGCTTCCGGGGTCGGCGGTCGTCATCACTTGGCGGAAGGGCCTCGCTAGATCCCTTCTCCCTGTCATCAGTGGGGCGAGAAGGGGAGGGAGGAGCCTGACCGGCACTGTTGCCTACAGAACGGCATCGCGCACGTGATGCCCCCCCCCCACCCCACCCCGCCTTGCTCCCCAGCTAGCTTGTCGGGGTAGGGAGCCATGGTCGCCAGAGGAGGTGCCGGAGGAGCTGTCAAGGTAGCCGAAGAGATCGGCGCAAGACCATTGTTGGCTTGGACATGGCCGCCACCATGACCCACCAGCGCGGACAAACGTAATATCAGTTTCCGGAGGCGTGGCAGACATAGCAACGCGGGCTCGAACGGCAGCCAGCAGACCTGTGCGACAGGGAAAAGCAGTTGAAGCACCTCCCAAGGAGGTCCGCAAGGACCGGCCATCATGGGGGGCACTGTGGACGCCGACGTTCCTTCTACGTTCGCCGTCCTTCCACCTTCAGAAAGCCGTCAGCATCAGGGCCACGCAGCGGCGACAGACGGTTGCACGTCGCTTGGAACATCACGATTCTAGGGCTCACGAGGTCACCTGGCGAGCAGCACTGCCAGGCTCTGTCAAGATCGTGGCCGAGGTTCCGCCTGCGAGATCCACTCTTGTGTTTGATATCCTCTGTTAAACGTGCAAGTTATTGTCTATCATTTTTTTGTCACCAGCATTTTAAATTTCACATATAATGAAGTGAGATTTATTTCATTTTGCACTCACGAACCAACGTGTGCTTGCTATTTTCTCACATCATCTTACAACTCTTTAGTATTTATTAACAATTAGTCTATGCTTTATATTCCTGCAACTACCCCTTTTGCACCGCGTTTATGGATGTGTGTCCGTGTTTTGGTTGGGTATGTGATGTGTGGTTTGCAGGCCAATCTTTGCCGTTGCTTGGCCCTATATGGTCTATATGGATGTTGCTGTTGTCTCACTAGCTAATTCATTGACCCTTTTCCCCTAGCTAGCATATGTGATAAATTGGATTTTATTGGCATCAACGACTATGGGCAGGTAACTTAAATACTATCTGCTTAGATAAATGGGCTGAACATGTAAACTGTTGCAGTTGATTACTCCATTTTCATGCAGGAGGTGATATCAAGCCCTGGCCTAGAGCTTGTGGACTGATGAGTCCGTGAATCCAGTCGTGATGTTTATCCTGATGGGCTGTATCATATCCTGATTCAGTTTAATGAATGATACAAGAGCTTAAAGATACCTTTTTTGATTATTGAAAATAGAATTCCTGATGAGACTGAACTAATTCTGAAACTATATATTATGGAGCACCTGTTAGTCATTTATGCTGCAATCATTAATTCATTATGGTCTGTTATTAAATTAATTTGGAATGAAACATTCCTTACTATATGATCATGTATATATGTGTAAATTCCAGCACTTATAGGCATATTGTTTTGAAGGGTATGTCTCTGCTTGGCTATCTATTTTTGACACGTCAGATAACTGGAAATAGGCAGGTGGCTATGGTCCCAAGTTTGCTAACAACCTAGCATGGAAACCCAGGCCTTCATACTATTTATTCTGAAAGGCGATCTCTGATTTCAGAAAATTATACAGTACCATGTGTATCCATTGGCCACAAAGTCTAAAACAAATTTATAATGTTTGTGTGGCTTATTTGATAGGTCTCTTGTTTGACATCAAATTGTCTAGACTTGTGATAACTTATTTTTTCACTCCTTTTCTTTTACATATGGTATCTGTATAGTCTTAACAAAATGCACTTGAGCTGCAGGTTGTTACTGCTGAGAAAATTACTGTACAAGCTGGGTGCTTGGAGGGAGCTGCAAAACGCAGCATTTCAGAAGAAAAAGTATCCATTTTTCAGGGCAGTAGATAAACATGGTCAGATGTATGCAGGTATATGTGATTCTCTCCAAAACATTCTGAATTTCTGATATAGTATTAAATCGACATTATTCATGGGTGGCTTGTTTCACTTAAAACAACTTGATAGGTAGGATAAATAACAACTATTAACTGATTTTAAAATATGCCAATGCCTACTGCCTTCTCTTCAGGCTTCTTAGAGTCGAGGGTGATGCTCCATATTAGTTTTTGTTCACTTGGGTTACATAATCACCAAATGGCATAGAGAGAAAAAAACCATATAAAATAGAGATTTTAGTTGGTACAAACTGTGGTTGTGATCTCCACCTAAGCATCCTGAGGCTCTTGTTCTTTTGTGGTCTAGGTCGGCATATTCAGAGATCATTCATATTGTGGGATTGACAGTTTGGTCATTGTGAAATGGAAGGATTATACTTTGGATAATGAACTCACCAAGATAATCATTATAGGTGGAGAGCAAGTCACCAATATTTAAGCCTTGAGCTTGGAGACTATCTTGATGAGTTCATTATCCAAAGTATATAAACAATTCTTGACATATGACTCAGTAGCGCCACAATTGAATGTAAAATGCATGTATTCTATGTATGTTGCCTACACTACCGGATACAGGAGCTTTGCCAAGTGTCAGGGGCACTTGGCAAAGCCCCCAAAACACTCGGCAAACCATTTGCCAAGTGTTACACTGGGCAAACGACACTCGGCAACTATTTTATCGGCAAACACTGTTTTGCCGAGTGTTTTTCGTCGGGCACTTGGTGAAGACTTTGCCAAGTGCCCCAAAAACACTCGGCAAACATTTTTTGAAAAAAAATAAAAAAAAGCATTAGCCACCGGAGGAAGAAAGGGCGTCGCCGGATCCGGCCACCCCGCTCGCACCGGCGCTGGCCCACCACCGCCGCCACCAGATCCAGCCTCCCGCGCAAGCGCCACCACCGGAGAGAGAGAGAGAGGGTGCCACCGGAGGAAGAAAGGCGCGGCTGGATCCGGCCTCCCGCGCTCCGCCACCGGATCCGGCCTCCCGCGCCAGCGCCGCCACTGGATCCGGCCTCCCGTGTCACGCCACCATCGGGGGCGAGAGAAGAGAGGGCGCCGCAGAGGGAGAAAGAGCACCACCGGATTCGCCCTCCCGTGCACACACCGCCGGATCTGGCCTCCCCTCCCTGCAAGCGCCGCCACGGGTCCGGCCTCCTGCGCCACGCCGCCACCGGTGGGAGGAGAGAGGGCGCCGCCGGAGGGAGTGAGACGCCATGCCATGGATCCGTGCCGCACCCGCAATGCCGGACCACCCCTCCACCACCACCTGGGGTGCGCCGCCGGGGTCCCTCCCTGGATCTCGCCGTTGGGGGAGGGAGGGAGGGAGGGGGCGGCACCGACCGCTGGATCTCGCCGGGGGGAGGGCCATGGGAGGAAGGGAGGGGCGGGGAAGAAGGGAGCGGCCGGGAGAGGAGGGGAGGGAGGCGGCGCCGTCGGGAGGAGAGGGGGCGCTGGGGGCCGGGAGGAGAGAGAAGGGGTGGGGACGGGAGGGCGCGGGTGGGGTGCCGGGGACACGGTTAGGTTAAGTAGGTTTTTTTTTGTTTGCTGAGTGTCCCAGATGGGGCACTCGGCAAAGTTTTTTTTTAATTTTTTTCTTCTCCTACTTTTTTTTGTCGAGTGTTTTAGATCTGAACACTTGGCAAAATTTTTTTTCATTTTTTTTCTTCTCCTTCTTTTCCAGAAAAAAAAATTATTTCTTTGCCGAGTGTATTTTTTTAACACTCGGCAAACAACCTCTTTGTCGACTGTTTTTGTTTTGACACTCGGCAAAACGCCCTGTTTGCCGAGTGTTTTTTTTTTTGCCGAGTGTTTTTAGCGCGGCACTCGGTAAAGAACTTTTTCGCCGAGTGCCCGAGGGAATACACTCGGCAAACATAAAAACACTCGGTAAATTTGAGGATTCCGGTAGTGCTAGAGTTTCCAATTCACGGGTATATTTTATTTGCAGGCAATGCTGCAACGATCATCAAATCGTGCAGTCAATACAATTGCATAATCAAACATACAGCACTCAGAAAGGACATGAATGACGTAATAACAGGAACTTTTGCTAGCATGGCTCTTGGCACATCGAAGGTGTACAGATGACAATGTTGGAGCGAGGACATTTAGACAGAGTGAGAAAAATAATAATAGAATGCAAAATAACCAACAACAAGTAAAAAGTAATCTATGAGCAAAACGAAGTCAACAATAGCGAAGCCGCTCCTGCTTCATGGATCATCCAACGAAAGCAATGAGGGGAATTACCTTTGGAGGGCTTACATTCGGCGGCCTGGGCATCCTGTTCATCCTTCTGAATCCCGAAGAAATTGAAGATCTTCCTCTCGTTCACCGGGAAACCTAAAGATCCCCCAGAAAAAAAAAACAAGGAAAAGCAGTGAGATACGATACGATAGCACAACGAGGCAGCGAGGAAGAAGATAAAGAAAAGATACGAGAGAGGGGTAGGGAAATGGCGAGATGGAGCCATGGAGGGCGGCGAGGAGGGTGGGAAAGACCAAAGACGCACTCTTGGGGGCCTGTATGGGCGGAGCGCAGATGGGGCAGAACCAGGGGCCGACGGGGACCTGGGAGACGATGGGGCGGAGGCAGAAGGTGTGGTGGCCGCGGTCGCAGCGGTCGCAGAGGATCAGGTCGTCCTCACTGTCGGCGGAGCCGCAGGTCTCGCAGAGGAGCGTCTCGTAGTAGGTGTACACCCGCTCGCGGGCGACGGGGGGCGGCGCGTCGACGGCGGGCGCGCGGCGCATGACGTCGTCCAGGGAGCTGTAGCGCTGCGGCGTCAGGGGCTCCTCTAGTGTAGACGCCGCGCGGGCGACGGGCAGCGGCGCGTCGACGGCGGGCGCCCGGCGCATGACGTCGTCCATGGAGCAGTGGCGCTTCGGCGTCAGGGGCTCCTCCAGTGTAGACGCCGCCGTGCGCTTACGCCCTAGCTGCGGCGAGCTCGGGGATGACGACGGCGCGGCAGGGTCCATGGCGGCGGATAGGAGAGGAGCACGCGGAGGTGCCGGGTGCGTGCGTCGCGGTCCGGTCTCTCCTCCTCTGGGTGGGGGAGATAGCCTGACGAGAGGGAGACGGAAAGACGACAAAGGAGAACAGGGGTCGTCGACGGTGGACTCGCTCGCTTTGGTAGCAGATGTGTAGCGGAAGGGAAGAAGGCTGCGGTCAGAGCCACCAGAGGCCCGCGCCGCGTCGCGTGACGCGTGAGGCGCTGCGGGCTGCTACGGCCAGTCTGTCACTCTCGTGTCTAGGTGTGACGGCCGCCAGCGAGCGAGCGAGGAGACCGTTGCCCTTGCCGAACTCTCTCGTCGTTTCTCTCTGGCTCTCGCTCACCACACTACCGGCTTTCTTTTTCTCGCTTTCATTTCCTTTTTTTTTTGTATGCCTCGTGTTTTTCTTTCTACAGTAATTCCTTTTTCATCTTTTCAACAGTATCTTTTATCGAGACATATATTAAATTAAAGAACAAAAAAGTTACCATTTTCTACGACATGGTTTACAAACTCGGTTATTTTTGGCTTATTACTTTCTAGGGTAGAGCAATGCATCATGGTTTTAATTGGAAATTGTATATTATATATGATGTACAAAATTTTTTCAATTGATTTTTTAGAAAAAGAGTTGACATGAGTTAACAAAATCTTTCTGCCTTTACTTCATTCTAGATTCTAGAGAGAGAGAGCGAGTCTAGGATTTCCTAGTATTCACTGTGTAGATGGAAAAGAAAAAGAAGCAATTTAATTCATTCTAAAATGTCGATCAAAATTGGCAGGCACTTATATTGTTGAAGAATTCTAAAATAAAAATTAATGTGCCAACTCGTCTAGTTTTTCTGTTGCTAAACAAAACCATGGATGACCAATCCCAACCCAACTTTTGCCACAAAATTAATGAGTAGCAACAAGTGCCTATTCGCTTGATCTTATCAGCCGGCTTATCAGCTAAAATCTACAGTATTTTTCTCTCACAACAAAACAGCTTCAGTCGGCTTATCAACCGGCTTTAATACCAGCCGAACAGGCCAATCAAATGCCCACCGCTCCCATAGGAGCCCATGGTATTTGAATTTTGAATCCAGTTAAGTTTCAACTGTTAGTGATCAGTGGAGAGGTGCATCGTGTATACTATCTGTAAGGCCTTGTTTGGATACCCATGTATTCACCGCCATCCATGTGTGTCGGGGTGGGTTGGTGTCAAATTTAATTCAAATTCTACACAAACACAACTCAATTCACATGGATTGAGGTGGATACTTGAGCATAAATTCTACACCAACCCATCCCAATACACATTGATTGAAGTGGATACATCGACATCCAAACAAGGCCTAAACCACATATATATCAGGGTTATCATATGTCATTGAAAAGGCATTGCTGCAGGTATGCTCCATTCTATGGGCCTATTTGGTAAAGATTAACCATTGGAAAAAGTAAACCTTGATCTGGATTCACCATGGATCAGCTCTAACGTGGATCTGATATCCACCCTAGATCTACCAGGGAACTGTTTAGCTAAACAAGCAGCTCCAGATCCACACAAGGGCATTTTGTGGGAATGACCAGATTTTCCCTTGGGGATAGGCCCCACGTGTTAATGTCTGAAAAAATGAAAAAATTTCCTTCTCAGGCGTGGGGGTGTGGCCAGCGCAGGACATGGCGCTCGTGGCTAGGGCACGATGGGCGGCCACCGCCCGGCCTCGACCTATTGGTCATCGTGATTTGGTAGCCAGCCGGGGCAAGATGGGAGATGGCCAGGGCGAGCTGGGCCGCCGCCACTGCCTCCTGGGGAGCCTTCTAACGCAAGCGTCGGAGCGCATCCAGCATAGGGTGTGGCGCTCGCGGCAAGAGCAGGAAACCTCGTCACAGTGTCCATGGTGACTTGGTGACCGGCCAGGGCTGTCTGGGTGCCAGCCGGGGCGGGCTGGTGGCTGACTGGGGGAGGCTAAGTCGCCACTGCCTGGGAGCTCAACGCAGATGGGGGAAACAAAGAGGAAAGGGGTGGAGGTGGTGGAGGATAGCCAGATCCACCCATTCCGACAGTCCCTTGGGCGCCGAAGTAGCAGGATTTGGTGGAGTCAGAGATTGCTACAAGGGCGCCATGGTTACTGGAGAAGAGCTGGGGAGAAGAAGAGCGCTTGACAAAAAGAAACATGGATAGAAACGAACCAGTACGGAGGAAACGGTGTGGAATAAGTTTCATGGTGGGTAATTTTCTCCAAGTCCACCAAACTCGGTTTGGTGGAGCACCCCTTGAGGAGCTCTACCAAAATGGTGAATCTGGCCCCCTGGATCGACCGTTTTGTTGAATCCAGATTTGGTGGATCTAGAGCGTTTGGGTAATTTATGGTGGAGTGGAGGTATTTTTGGTGAATCTAGAGCTGGGGAATCTCTACCAAATAGGCCGTATCTACTTTCCACACCATTTGACACCTTCATTTTATGCCTCTCCTTCATGATAGATTTCACTATACATATCTATACGTCGGCTGTTCATCTCAATCAAAGCAAATAACAGATATCTAATAAATAAACAAAGACATAAGGAGATGCCATGTAGGGGCATCCGAGTGTATGAAAATTGGAGGTTATAGACCAGCTTATGATCAACCTTATACATTTGGTCGACCGTAATAATAAGGTCGTAAGAAAAAAAGGCTTAAGGCTAATCCTCAAGACCAAGGCCTACAAGCAAAAATACAATATCTTTCTTTGAATCATGTAGTTGTGTGCCCCTCTATTACTATCCAACTACCAATGACTACCCCAACCACAGCAGCCAGCGACCATATCATGTGTCCATTTTCTAGTTGTTGAACTCCCCTGTTCCCTAGTCATTGAGCTATTCTTCATATTTCACCTGCATATGGAATAGTGAAGAGAGAGAGACAGAGTGAGTGAGTGAGAGAGAGAGAAAGAGTTAGAACAACTATTCTCAAAAGTATCCTTCAGGAAGCAAAAGTTTCACTAGAATGATGCAAGACGATTCATGTAAAAAATTAGAAAATCCAAACATTCAGCATGTCCCGAACCACCGACCAACGGAAATTCTAGCACATTTGTCCAATTCTGTTTGGCCAAACCATCCCACTATCCCAATTTCACCCCAGCATCCCATCATCCTCGTATTCTGAAAGCATCCGACCATCTCAGTTCATGCTAAACATCAATCCGTTTAGACGTTTAGTATGCCAAACAACTTCTAGCACTATGTTGTGATTGACCACATTTTTAGGCATGAAGATTGTAAAAACAAGTTTGTATAATTGCATGGGTGATTAACACTTCGGTCGTAGACTTATTTGCTATCTAGAGAAAGAAGAAATGAAGAAAGTTAGCAATGAGGCTATGGTTCATTGTTTCATGACCATGGAAGGAAAAAGGCATAAATATGATCTCTAAGAGGTAATGAAATGCATCTACTTTTAATTGATAATTCTACATTTTCTTTGTTAAATAGTTGACCTATTTGTTCTCTTTCTTTAGGCTGGATCAAATTATTTGCTATATGGGACATCTTTTGTTCATCGTTTTGGCATTCTTTCAATCACTACACTACATATGTTTTTTCTCATATGTTTTTCTTAATTTTGACACGAATCAACAAATTTTAAAATTCATTCGCCTTTCCTTCATTCTAGAAGGACTAAGGTGGATGGTTTCCTAGCATCTACCGTGTAGATAGGCTACAAAATATCTTTTATTACACTACTATAAAATATTGATCAAAATTGGCAAGCACTTAATGTTGTAGAATTTTGAAATAAAAACAATGAGCAAATAATATGCCACCTCATATGGCTTGTCTGTTGTGCCAACAAAAATTGTGAATGACTAACCCAACTTTTGTTACAAAATTAATGACTACCAACAGGCAAATCTCATCACTAAAATCAAATGCCCACTGCTCCTGTAGTAGCCACCGGTTTTTTAATGCAGTCAAGTTTCAATTGTCAGTTACCAATGGAGAGGTCCGCCATATGTTACCATTCATAAAACCATATTCTTCAAGGATGCCATACCACAACACAAAATGTTACATGACAAAGCAACAGTGTGGAGGTGAACAGATGGGGCTGAAGGAAAGTTCAAAGGTAGCTCATTGGAAGCAGAACCAATGAAGCTTGCTGCAAGCAGTAGTGGTGACATGGAAACCAATGAGGCGTATGCAATTAGAGCACGAGGATTGAATGGCAGTAAATTTGGTAGCAGGCAGGGACGAAAGATACGTGGGTGTTCCAAGGCTAGATGGTAGACAGGGCAGGAGCCCAGAAAATTTTTACATCAAATGAATTCATGTGCACAAATTCAGCACGCAATCATAGATCACCGAGCTAGGTGTAGGTGTCGGGCTTTCGTGGCCAAAACGCACAAAATCACCAATCATGGATCACCGAGGTGTATAGGTGTCGACCTTTCGTGGCCAAGACCATTGTTCTGAGTCTATCAATTCCAAAATGGTCACCAATCATGACACAAAAGGGGAAACTAAACAACAAACTAACTAGTAGACAAAAAAAAACTCGTGCTGAACTTGACAACCTAGATATTTTTGTAGTAGCTATCCATAGTTCATATTGTTGTACGTGCATGTGCGCCAGTTATTTTAAGAACAAAGCATTTATCCATGGCGGCTCTTCACTTGTTGCACGTAGTGTTCCAGTTCATGCTGGTGGCCACTACGACGCGACTAGTATCACAACGGCCACTTTGGTTCGTCGTCGTGCCTCACATGCTAGTGCTGCTGCCAGTCATCTGCTGACGCCTCCACCAACGCCCCAACGCCGGCGACGACAAAACGAAGCAGTCGAATCCTCTCCTGCCGTCACCTCCAGGGAGGCTGCCGGTCATCGGCCACCTGCAACGCATCGGCGATCTCCCACACGTCTGCCTCTGTGACCCCTCACCGCCAAGCACGACCGTGGCGGCGGCCTCATGCTCCTTCAACTCGGCAGCGTCCCCAACCTCGTCGCTTC